TACTGCACATGGGCGAAGATCAAATCTTTGGTGGGGGTTACTTAGTCAGAAGTGTGAGGCTATTCTCTCAGCTTGGGTACTCTGTGAAATTTCCGGTCAAAGAGATCATAGGATAGCGAGAGTGATCAGTGATCGAACATAGGCAATCATAATCTACTGATTCTCAGGCACTATTTGTTTCGAAAATCAGCAAAAGTAATCCTTTTATTCTACTTCTGTCATTAGGATATTTACTGTACCAAAAGAAACAGAGTCAATAATGTATAAAGTAATTATGCATATATATATATATATATATATATATATATAAAGGAGTAAATACACCTTATTTAACAGCACATTACCGTGGTTTCAACTGTTCACCTGTTAGTTCTTTCCAGTTTGCGGGCAACAAGTCTTCATAATGACACACCACACTGCAATTATTCAGTTATGGAACCGGAAGTTAAGAACCGGAAGTTGAGAAGAGAAGGAGGTTTAAGTGAAAAAAAAATATCGGTGTTGTTTTATGAAAGGGAAACATGTATAAAAAATACAAATGTGGTTATTTTGACTTCTCCAAATGATCCTCTATAATGAAGCAGAAATATCCGAACTGATGGGCATATTCATATTAAACAATATTAGTAAAATTGTCTATATTGGGAGCCACAGTATTTATCGAGACGATGGTTTGTTGGTAGTTCTTGGCAACAAAAGAAAACGATTCAACAAGCACAAAGCCGCACAAATTGTTTAACGAATTCGTTTTCGATATTACAGTCGAAATGAACAGAAATTATATTCAGTATTAGATGTTGAAATAAATTTATGAGCTGGTAGAATCTCACCATTCACAAAGACAATCGCTTTAAAATACATAAAAACCAAACCTAACAACTTGATGAACCAAGGACAACCCGAAATGAATTGAATGCATCTAAAGGGAAATTTTTGTAAAGAAATTATATTTGGCAGCATTAAAGGAGGAGGGGAAAAATAACGACCTGAATTTAAACCTCAGGTCAATCCAAGAGAAACAGAAACGTTATTTGCTTCTCTCTTACCCACCTTCAACATGCAAGAAAATAGTAACATTGGAAAATATTTTGTGGCCTTTTTGTAAAATCATTTCCCTTAGTCATCGGAATTATGGAAAGTTTTCAACAGGAACACCATTAAATTACATTTTAAGCAATTTAAATAATTTAGTAACAAGGCAAAATATTAAGATTTTAAAGAAATAGGGTCCTGTAAACCTGGGGATAAATCAAATACCATCCTCAAGTGTCAATCGGCTTATATGTTCATTGCTCGGTCCAGTGAAATTTCTCGGTCTCGGAAGGTCTTCTATCGTGAATTATTGGAGGGAGTCGCGAAGGATCCGCTCTGCCGACGGCTCGGCTTGTCGGCGGATGAGTTGCGATCTTTTCGGTGTTGGGGGTCAGCGGCGGATTACATCAGCAATACTGAGTTTTCGCTTACCTGACGATTTTCTCTCAATTACGTGGTCATCAGATACTGTCATTGCCCTAACATTGTTTTAGAGGAAAAGGCTTTATACGCGTTCTACCGTCTTCTTTGTGTTCACCTCACTTTGGGACTATGTCGGCGAGTTGAAGGATCTTATCGCCTCCGAAATCTCCTGCTTATTGATCTCGCGTACGTGTGTGACAATCTGCTGCTCCCATATTCTGAGGTGAAACGGATGATGTTTTTGTTGCTGCAAGCCGCGGCTAGAATGGTGATTTGGACGACGTGGATGGAGGATATCTAGCGATGTGAACGCTATTCTCATTAGAATCTAATCCCATTCTTTGAGCAACAACTCAGGATGAAGATTAAAACTGACAGAAAGCATTTAGTATTGACACATTTCAGGAAATATGGGTAACTATAGCGAGCCTGGTTCACTTGAACGGGGCTAGAAATAATTTTCTTTTTTAAGTCCCCCTAGCTCAAAAAGAGGTAGTTTCCTGTGTAGCCCTCTCTTGGTTAAGATAGACTCGTCTTAAGGTGAGTAATTGTCGTTCCTGGCCTCCTCCCGGTTTCCACATTGTTTATGATTCAAGTCGAGATTCCCAACCTTCCAAGTTTGCTTTTAGATTTCCCTTTTTCATTTCAACTGTGTTAGTCTTTCTTTTCCCTGCCTGTATTCATTTTACTGTTTCCTCTCCCCATATTGAGAGAGCCTCTTGATTTTGTCTAAAGACAGACTACAACGGCTTCTGTTATTGGCACTTATTTCATATCATCCATTTAAATTTTGTATATGATCTTATAACACAAACAAATTTTTTTATCTTGGGGTGTTTTATAGGTTCCCTGTGTGTATGCGTCATTGTGGTATATGTAGGATTGAATGATCAGGGATGAGTTCTTGTATTATATGCAATAAATATCCTTTTTGCCCGGTACCTGAAGAGACATCACGATGGAAACCAAGGTATTGCGCGGTTATATAAGGTGTTTTTAGCCCCTTTTTATATTTACTTGCTTCTTTTCAAGACAGCTGTATTGAACACATTTTTATACTTCCATTGTTTGGTATGCTATTTTTTCAGGCCCCTTATCAGATATATATAGATATATATATATTTTGTGTGTGTACATATATATATATATATATATATATATATATATATATATATATATATATATATATATATATATATATATATATATATATATATATATATATATATATATATATATATATATATATATATATAACAATAGTTATTGAAACGCTGATTCAGCTGTTCTTCTTTGTTGTCTTCAAATGCCAATCAGTAGTCATGTACGATAATTCCTTATCGTAATTAATACGTAATTTTGAAAAAGTACCTTCGGGCGTCTCTTTCATATTTCTCTTTGCCAGTTAGCGTTTTCCTACTATTTTTTTCCTTTTTATCTCCACTATAAAAGATCCTCTCTCTCTCTCTCTCTCTCTCTCTTTTTCTCCTACTTTTTTTCGTTTTTCTATCCAATCAGAGAACCCCTCTCTTTTTACTCTTATCTCTTTCACATATGATTTTTTTCTTTTCTCACTTCTTTCTATTCTTATCCTCTCTCCTGTCTTTACTCGAAAATGTATCTTTTCTTAATAATTTCCATCTCTATCTCTCTCCTACCACATTTCTGACTAGCTATTATTAATTTATTTCTGTTTTTCTATCATCTCTTTCTCTCTCAGCCATTTGGATTTACATTTCTTCCCCCAATTCAACCTATACACCCAACAATAATAATATATTGATGGATAATAAGCTAAAGACATTCTAACAGGAAGCCAAATTTGAACTCTACTTTATGGGAACAGACTCTAGTTAGAGTGCTTAACCGGTCACTAAAATCTTAAGCTCTTCGTGTCTAGGGACAACTTTTATCTGTCCTACATATCCTCATAATTTGCAATTATTCCTCATCTTTCATCTATACCGCAACCTCATTCAGCAGTCTCTAAAATGAAATAAGTATCTGTTTTCATATTGATGAAGGACCGGTTGATTGAAATAAAAATCGGGATTCAACAATTTGTTAAGATTCTAACACTGACAACTATTTCAGTTATGACAATGCAACTGCGTAATTTGATAATTAAGACCAACTACCGCACAGAATCCACGAAATCATATTTTTTGCGTTATTATCTCCTTTTTTTACTGAAAGAAAGTAATTTTTTATCGTACCAATCTCTAAATAACTCTATGTTTATCTTTTACTCCTTATCTCTATTTTCTAGCCTCTTTTAGATATTTATTCTTTTTCGTGATCGATTTTTTACGAGTTGGCATGTATCCCTTTCTCATCTGCATCTATCTTTCTTTTCCCCTTTCTCCTCCCTCTCACTCTGTCTTTGTTATCCTTTTTTCACGTTAAATTATTTCAAATCATTATCCCTTCTTCTGATGGTGCTATATTTTTCTAACATTTATCTGTGGCTTTTGTTCAAACCAAAATAGAATTTAGGAATTTCAAAGATCATCTTCATCTCAGGAATACCATTAATTGTATCACGGAATTTGCTGCAATACAGTCTTTGTTGGTATTCTTTAGTTTGCTTTTGTGCGACATTATTCTATACTTATAAATTCTCTACATGACTGTTAAACAAAATTCTCATATGAACTTTTACAACTTTTCGAATTTATTTTATCAATTTAATTAAGGCAGTTATTTCCCAGTTTATTAGGATTAATATCTTCGTTGATGTCCTCCTTCTTACTTGAACTTCAGAATGCTTCATCAGCTAATCATATAGGGACAATAAAAGACTGATTAACGCTTCAGCCGAAATATTGTGAAAATAACGATCAAAAATAAAAATTAACAACAAATAATCTAAATACAGTGCAATCTTGCCTTTCAATTGTAATACCGATTTATATTAGCGCTACAAACAACAGGGAAAGCGAAAGAATAGACTGATTATTTCGTAGTGATAAATGAAAGAAGCAATAAGAGTAGCAGTATATATAATTTATATAATACTCGTGACAACTCGATTTAGAATTTTCTCCAATGAGTAAGTCTAAAGTATATATTGGATAACACATTGTAAAATCATGATGATATATAAATATATTAATTCGACCAATGATGGTTAATAAATTTCAATTCAACGTCTACTGAACTTTAATAAAAAAATATATTAAGTATAAGAATGATACTCTGATTAATTGACGAGATTAAAATGGTTAGATTTTTTAGATTATTTTCTAAAATATATCTCTACTTAATAAACCACTTTCCTTCCTTAAATCCTTCTCTTTCAACATATTTCCATTCTTGTTACGTTATCTTTTACTAAACAAACTGTTTATTATTCTTCCTAGGACTATCGATTCTCAATACTTTCGTTATTTCGCTACGGCTTACGTTCTACTTTTACCACACAAATATCGTTTTGTTATTGTTGTATATCTCGAATGAATAATCAGGATCTACTATTTGGTATCCTTGACTTGATTTGTAATCATCGCCTTGGAGAGCAGCAGTTTTTCTACCTTTTGACACAATCAAAAGGAGACGATAGTGAAACGAAAGATGCAGCTCATGGCATACAAGGAAGAAAACGTATCTTTAAAAAAAATCACATGAATGACATGCAGAGTCAACCGGACAGAAATAAGAATTCTACAAAACTAAAAATAAATAAATGAAAAAAATCGTAGAAATATCCTTCAACAGACAAAAAAGGAAAGCCAAGATAAAAAGGCTCTCTATCAGCAGGGTTTGATGGTATGAGCGAGGGAATGAATTGGGAAAGCTAGATCCGGCAAATTCGAGATCTTTGATAAGGGAAAGGATACTTTCCATCTTTTACGTAAAAAGACTCTTTACTTATATTTCTCTTGTTGGTTTCCGCTTGTCAGTGTCTTGCAAAAGGGTTCCGTGCACCGCTCAGCTCTGAGGAAAGAATTCAATGCTTCTGTGTTCTTTATTTGAACATGGCCTAGCGCATGCGCTCAAATAATCTGTGATCTTCATAGGAGTTCAGAAATTGTGATTTGAATGTTTTCTGCTTTTTTTTTCTTTTTCAAGTTCGGGATCATTTTTTTTATTTTCTCAGAATAATTTGCGATTAGAGTTTAAATTTGATAGGCTGGATTTCTTGCAAATAATCGATGTAAATTTTCAATGTAAATTTTTTTCCAGTATATTTTTTTATCTATACTTTATATTTCGTTAGAGTATCAAGAAGATATGAAATTAATTATGTTTGAAATCGGCAACATTCAATGACACTACGTAAAATTAAGGCAACATTTATGCTGAAATGACTGGGATATTTAATCCTTTGACGTCATGTAAAATGAATAATAATATGTGTGTGTTTGTGTGTCAGTTGATTATGTATAAGCGCAGAAACACACACGTATACACACACAAATATATAAATATATATATATATATATATATATATATATATATATATATATATATATATATATATATATATATAGTGTATTTGAAATCAATCCTCTGTTATGCAAGTTTACACAACTCCAGTTAACAAAATTAAGAAAATTAAATTAATTATTTCTTATAAAAAATTATAACAGCTAACCTCATCGTCAAAAATAATAATTCATCCTCAAATTACAAAGAACCAATATGATTTATGAATGTATATGTCACTTAAGTACATGTGTTCCTTATCAATCCTAATGTGTAAGTAATTATATTGGATATACTGCAACATGTTTAACAAGCAAGCTCACGTTACATCTCTCTGACCATAGCTAAATTAGGTCTCATTAAATGCACATGGAGGCTTAACAAAATCTATCGGCAAAATACACGTTGATAATAAAATATAATAACCTTATCAATATGGAAGAAATGCTAAAATAATGGAAGCTTTATAAATAAGAAGCGAAAGAAAAAGCTCAGTCATATCAACTATGAACATGTGCTGACCATGTTAGGAAAATGAAACATTCCTATAACTCTAGATACATATAGAAAACAATGCATATATTCTGTTAAAATTAAGACAAAATAAAAAGTAATATATATATATATATATATATATATATATATATATATAGAGAGAGAGAGAGAGAGAGAGAGAGAGGGAGAGAGAGAGAACGAATCGACCCTACCATTAATTTAAAAGAGTAATCGATATAATCCAATAGTAGAGCATTACACTTTATTATTGGATATAGCATTCAAAAATGTTGATAAACCCTAAACAAATGCATTATATAAAATAATTCTGTCCCTATGAAATAAATATCCTCTCACATCCATATAAATATATATATATATATATATACATATATATATATATACAGAGATAGATAGATAGATAGATAGATAGATAGATAGATAGATAGATAGGTAGATAGATAGATAGATAGAGAGATAGTGTATTACATTCAAATAGGTAGATAAACGCTACATAAAAGCATTCATCTTTGGATATGTGTCAACACATCTCATATTCCGTTAGTATTTACTAAGAATTTTATAGAAAAATTTAAAAAATAAGAATCAAGTCTGTTTAGAAACTGGCAATTTTAGTTATGGTGGGCTTCAATCGTGAAGCTGATATATCGGCTATATGCAGTACATCACAAATGGAAATAAAACTAAACTTACCGAAGCTTATTTTTCATGCACAAAAAAAGTCTGTCCGAATGAACAGAAAACACAAAGTACCATTATTTCCTACTTGCCCTTATGCTTTCTATTGATAAAATTCTCAATGCCTATAATTTAAATACGTTCTAAAATACGTTTCACATGAATGATTTTCATATTACTTTTAACTAGATCATCTTTTTCTAACATTTTAAATCTATGTGTACTGCATAGAAGATTGTCAAAAAAGAAAATATACTTGAGAGAATGTCTGAAAATGCGTCCCTCTTGTAGGAGAAATCACTGTATAGCTCGTTTTTCTGTTCATTCATGGAAGAATTTCACAGCAGAACAGCATTCAATTATCCTCATGAGGATCGTGTTGGCTTATTAAATATCATCCATTAAGGCTTTAGAAAATACATAATTGTATATGTTTGTGCATGTGTAGGTAGCATGCTAGCATGTGCATTTGGTCGAAGGTGGTATATCTCCGTTTCACTTCATAGTGTTTCAGTTAGGATCTCGAGTCATTTTAATGGCCAGTATTTCAAATGCTGAATTGATGAAAAATTGCAGCTGTTCCATTCATCAAGCTACATACTTCCCGGCATTTTTGTAACGTTCAGAATTTCCTCAATCTAAAATAATCCTTTTTATTTGAATATCAATACTCGATGTGATATTTTCGATTTCATTTGGAACAGTGTTTCCATCGAGATATGCACAACTATTCAAGCGCCAAATCAGTTTCCACTTTCATTGTATGCAGAAGGTACGGTTTAGACAACAGACACAGAATTGAAAAGACAGGAACTGATAAGAATGTATTAAATGAAAGCGAGTAGAAAGGACAAAACATCAATTGTAAGAAGATAGAATGTATGGTATATACCAAAAGGAATGTACGGTAGTCACCAAAAGGAATGTATTGTAGTGACCAAAAGGAATGTATGATAGTCACGAAAAGGAATGTATGGTAGAAGCAATGTATGTAGCAACATCAGCACGGCAAAGGGCACTCCTTTAAAGCTAAGGGAGGGAAAAAATATTTTAAGTCAAGTGATAGCGGTTGCTGGATGAGTCGTAGGATTTTTGAATCAAGCACGGGCAACGCCGGGCCATGCTACTAGTCCTTCTATATGGCAGTGAATTTTGGGTAATTTTAACACCGATGAAGAAGCGACATAATTTTTATTCTACAGATGGATGCTAATAATATCGTGGACTGAACATGTAAACAAAGCTTACTTAGATCTACAAAGGAGAGGAATATATGGAGAGCTATAATAGACCAAGGACACTACTTATAAAGGAAGAAGAGTAATTATTTAACCGCAGAAAATATGACATCTTATACAAGGAGCTGCATTTTGTTTGTAATTTTGCAAAAATATTAAATATAAACGTCTACCGCTATTTTCACATACATAGGCACAGACATATAAAAATGAATATAATTCAAAAAGTAAGGTTTCCTACCAGCACATCTGGCTTTTTTCTCCTCACAAATATTCAGCAGTTGTACCTTTCGGCGTTTTTCAGGAATTTGTTGTCGTACTTGTTAATCTCACATTTTGCCAAAGGTAAACTTTATTTTATACACAAAGATAAATGTTTTATTCGGCTTCCCATGCTTAAGGGATATTACATATCACTTTAGACATAACAATCTGATTCGGCTTTGTGTTGCTTTTCGGTTTCTTCCATTGAAACAGTGCAAGCGACTTTTTAGCACTATCATACATAGTGAATGAAATCCTTAGTGAGAGGAAACCAGATAAGCATTCATTTAGTCATTTAAGTTCGATTATTTAATCAAAATTGCACACAAAAACATATGTGGGTGGGAAGTGAGGTTTTGAGTGTATGTATGTGAAACGAATATATGGACGTACTAAATTCGACAAAATGATTAAATGACGAAAAAGTATTAAAACCTTCATGAATCTAATTTGGTTTCATATATATTTAGCTTCATCAGAAATTTCTGGTGATGGAATAATTTTGAGTAGTTTTGATTTTAATTACAACATGAAAACTTCAAAAAAACGAAATAGCCAAACTTACTTAATTTCTGGCATTGCAAATAAAAATGATATACAAAATTGTAGATTGGTGCCATATTCCTATAAACGGTACTTCTGTTATATGAATATTTCAAGATTTTTAAATAACTTAGTAAAAACTTGTCCAGATCATTTATTTAGTCATTTGTGTTGGTCTGGGAAGTTGATTATAGCTATTCTTTCCTCCAGAAAATATTTACTTTTTACGGGATTCATTGCAGGTTGTTGTTGTTTTCTTTTTTTCGGCGATAATTGGGTTCAATTTTCTGAATTTGTTTTTAATTAGTCCTGACGTTAGGAAACGTAAAATAAAAAGCTACAAAATAGTTTTTCATTTTGACAGAATTTATTACATAAAGAAATAATAAACAATTTTCTTAGCTATTTTTCTTCGCTAAACATTGCTCCTGTGGCACCATGCATCCAGGCAGAGAAAGAAAGGCAAAAAGGGAAAAGGAAAGAAAAGGAGAAAGGAAGGGAAAAAGTAATGCGAGACGGATCATAGGCGAACACACACGCGCGACTTAAGAGGCAATAAAAAAGGGTTATTTTGGATAAGTGGCAAATGCCGAAAGGAGTGTCATTACAATGACAATGAGATTGAGTGGGTAGGGAAGTGTTATCTAAACTATTGGTACGAGAAGGCATCTTACTATCAAAACACAGGCCACCGGCCAAGGGAAAAATTCCAACGAAAATGTTATTTCGATAAGTGACGACAAGAAACAAGCGACAAAAAAAAAAAAAGACTTTTGGACAGATATGAAAATTAAAGGCCACCTGCGAGCAATCATTGACCGATTTCCCTACTTGGCCTGCGCGAATGGAATTGTGTTATCAAGAAATGTTCGCCAAGGAAAGTCCACTTGAAAACGTTAGATTTTGATAATTGACAAAACACAGGTGTAGGTACGTAGCCTTAGCTGGGTATGGAAAATTAAAATCCCACACAAGTAGTCTCGCTAATTAAGATCTTTTCGATAAAACAAACTTTTGCCCTGCGATAATAAAATTTTGTTATCAGACACATGAACCGAAGGAAAATGAATGGAATAAGAAATGTTTTTATTTCTGCTTTGGAGACGTCAGACTGACTGAAAACTTGGAGAAAATTCTTTTCTGAGGCCATGTCGGAAAACCAGCCGTCTGATGAATTGGCGATAAACTGCTTGACAAACGCCACGTGTTGAACAAAGAGTTGTCATATTATCCGTTCATGATAACGGCGATTTAATTAATTTTTTTTTTAGTTAAGCAAGGTATTTTTTCCGAAACAAAGCCGCGGGCTTTTCACGCCCGACTAAGACGTCATTGGTCAAGTGGTGATCACATGACGCACGAAGGAGGAGGAAAGATACCCGACCAAGACCTCATTGGCCGAGAGTGATCACGTGACGCACGAAGAAGACTGTCGACGCCCCCATCAAGAGTATAATTATGAGAAGCCGCTACCAAGAAGTGGGGAGGGCAGTTCACGCCCCTCAGAAGCATGGTGATAAAGTGGGAGTGAAAAAAAAGTTACCAAAAATGGAAAAGAGTGGAAAATCCCTAACCAGAAATAAAAGAGGTGGATATGTATCTAGAATTATCGAGGAACTCCTCGACGCCAACAGACCCAACCCGGTTTTTGACGGCGTCAATAAAAACGAGGCCCCAACAGGCAGAAATCAGTTTGGACCCTGACGGGCAGAAGACAGTTCGTTCGGCCCTGGCGGCAGAGATGATAGACCAAGATAGCTGACCAAGATTCACGCAAACTTTTGGACTCCTCTTCAACCAAGAACAATTATTTTGAAGAGCGACTTAGAACCAGACCACAGAAATAAGTTTTTCGACTTTCGTCCAAAGACACACCGAAACACAAATTTCTTAGAGAGCAAACACTTGAAGCGTTAAAACTTGCCTAGCGAAAGCGACGTGTCACAATCCACAGAACGGGTCGGGAGATAGATGCAGTCCTATGTATCGAACAACTAGACATAAAGTTTGTTACCTTTTTCTTTGATACTTTGAACTTTTTGAGTTTTCATTTTATTTTCGTTAATGCATATTTGTGTGTTATCACCCCCGTTGAACTCAATTTACATTACGGCCCCAACCCCTGTTTGATCTCGTCTGTCTAAGATCAATTCACAACGTGGGTGGGCAGACTGGAGATCAGTGCAGTTACCTTGATAACCAGGCGTTGGAAGCAGGTTGGGAACGGCGAGGCTGATATCAAATCTAACCAGATTCCCACCCGAATCACCAAAAGGTTAGAACGTCAAATTTGGGTGCCGCGACCGATACCAATCCAGTTGGTCGTCACAATACGAGACAACACGACTGACGCGACAGGCGAACGTCACGTTTGAAGCAGCGACACCTAGACGGAGAAGACGTCACAATTGGTGCTGTTTAGGGACGTCACACCTGGTGTAGTGACCGGGGTAGGTCCCTGGAACGGCCACGTCACAACTGGCGCCGTGGTAGATCAGGATAGAACGTCACAGTTGGCGCTGCGACCGGGGACGACGTCACACTCCTAGTACCGTCATATTACCAACCGATTTGCGATGAAATACATTTTGAAAACAGCTTCGTAATATAAATGGGATAAACGCTATACTTTATCTAGGATTGAGCTGTGCCTAATTCGGTGTTAAGATGATATATTACCACGAAATATGTATTTACAAATACTTATTGAAGATTCGAAGCACAAATATTATATAACAAAAAAAAATTGCTTCTAAACATCTAAAA